CCCCCCCCCCCCCGCCCAAAATAACACCCGTGGTGGTGAGAGATGTGTCCTCATTCATGTCAGCTCATTCACCCATAATTTGCCAGCATGTGACACAAGATTCATGAACACTGGGCCAAAGAGATGCATCTCAAGCTAACAAACATACTGGAGACATTTGACATTATTTTATGTCCTTGTCCTCTTTCTTTAAAAAAAGGCACTTTACGCATTCTGTGGTTTTCTGTTCTGCTGCCCTCTTTTTTTTTTTACCTCACCTCACCTCATCACTCCTTGTTTTCTTCTTCCTCTTCTTTTCCTTTGGACAACTGGTATTCCAGCAGCCTCCTTCCCCTCCCTTCCTCTTTCTCCTCCCACTCTCTTCCACTCTCCCACCTTCCTCATCATTCAGCTCAGTTCATCTAAGTGTGCGTTAAGTCCACTGTAGTTCTTGCTTTTCTCTCTCAAGATGTCCTGGACTCGAGTCTTCGTGCTCTCTTTGCTCACCACCCACCTCATCCTCACCTGTGAGTACCTTGTCTGGGTGGCTGGGGGAAAAGTATTTTTGGGGGGGGTTATACATCATCCTTGGGCGATAAGCAGAAAGGTTTTGAGGATATAAAGTGCTGATATGTGAGGTCCGTTAGTCTGGAGAAGAAAACTTGAATCTAGTAGTATTTTGTAGCTTGAGCATGATTTTTTTTGTATGTATCAGAGTTTGACTCTGTCAAAGTAGATTTTAGATCCCACATATATTTTCGAATTTCAGCTTAATATTTGCAATTTGGGGATCAGTGTGAATCAACTTGTAAAGTTGTAAAAGTAAAAAAATTGAAAATAATGCTGATTGTTTAATTGAATTGAAACGTTTTAAGTCAATCAAAGTGATAACTGTTAGATGGATTAGCCAAACAAGACATTTTACGGTTTACAGTCATTATGAGAAATTATGATTGTTGCTGTTTTAATCCCGTTTAAATCTGTCACATTGGTCACTTGTAGAGGGACAATGAAGGCCAACGCAAACTTCGGTCTATTGGTGACATCAGAGGTCCGCCTGTAATAATAATAATCTCGTGTGATGTTATTTCTTTGCATGTATTTTGTTTCTGAGACGTGGTTTCTAACTGTAAACTGTAGTGCAGTAACTTGTAGAGGACAATTTAGAATTATTTTTGGCCCAAACATCAAACACTGGTACAAATAAGAAATAGGGAGCTAGAAAGCTTTATGTACAAGTCATAATCTAGTGCTTCTGCACAGACGTTTGGGGTTTATTCCGTATATAAATGAGGTTTTCATTGTCCACTTTATCATAGGGATACAGAAATAAGAACATGTCTGAATTCTCAGTTTCCAGCTCTTTATGCCAAATGCTCATTAATATTAATAAAAGGCCATTCACACCAACGTTTTGAGTATATATTTTCAGAATTTTAAATGCACAAACAGATGGCAATACAGTTTAGCAAATCTCAACATGCATGTGCTAACAGTATTGTTACAATATTGGCCCCATATGCATGCTTTGGTGCAAAGACGGGAAATGATCCTTGCTCCTTCTCCGCACAGTTTCCAGTGTGGTGAGAAGCGTGGCGGTGCGGGGCGACTCAAAAGCAGCCGATCCTAAAGGTGACACTTCTTCAAGCCTTTTAACTATTTCAAAAAAACCTCGCTCCACATTTCCTCCCTGCGTGACCATCACCTTCTGACCTCTGACCTTTAGGTGCAGCGCGGCAAGTGTTCATGCCCGAGTTGGACGCCTCCAACTTCTTCAAGGGCCGCAGTCGCCGCTCAACCCGATACTATGAGCTGCAAGGCAAGTTCTTCGATATCTACCTATTGGTTTGTAGTTCCGAGGATGACGTGGTTTGAGGTTTTGACTGCAAGCTCAGGAGAGAAATAGAAAGAGAGTAGTGGAAACTCAAGCAGGTGTTGTTCGACATAGTACCAGCTCTATCTGACACTCTGACACACACACACACACACACACACACACACACACACACACACACTGGAGGCTGCTGAAGGAGTCACAGGGTAGTATGGAGCAGGCTCTCCCTCTCTCAGTTTTCTCGGCACAATAAGCTCATTCTTCCACTGCCACTTCAAACCAACTGAACAAACACACGGATGAGAGGTGTTCTAGGCCAAAGCTGCAAACACACAGGAACTCGTACTCTAGCATCCAACATATCCAAACAGGATTCCTGTTTTCCTTTAAAGCACAAAAATGGCCGGACTTATCGATATGCTGCCGACAACGGCGCGCTCGTATTTACAGTCAAGTATGTTAATTGCATTATCTTCTGCCCGCCCATCAGAGCACCAAACAGGGCCTCGGCTCTGGACTAACAGGCCCACATTCTCGGAACAATAATAAAACACTGGACGGTTCATGAGAACCTGAGGGGACAGCCGAGCAGCTGGGAGGACTTTTTTTTTTATTTTGCCAGAAAGTGATGCACAGGTTGTCTACCGGGGTAATACTGAGAATAGACTGTTGTGGTTTGTCAGCCAATTTCATGATTTCATATAATCAGTTTAACCTCATTTAGTCTAAGAGGAAAATAGA